CCAGAGATCACCTATGCCTGGGGTCTCGGGCAGAACATTTGTGGGCACCCGTGTGTCCATGGACATCTCTTTTTGTGTCCAGCAGTCTCCCTGCTCCTCCTGATTTTATTTTATTTTTTACTTGTTGTTGTTTAATTGGGAGACTAGCTTGCTGCAAAATTTCAGCAATGCTTTTGATAAAGTGTCCCATGGTGTTCTGATAAATAAACTGGGATGGATCCATAGCTGGCTACAGACTCGAAAAGTGTTGATCGATGGCACTTTCTCAAACTGTACCTCAGGAATTAGTCCTAGGCCCAGCGTTCTTCAACCTTTTTATTAGTGATTTGGTTGAAGTACTTTCAAATTCTTGAAAGGCTGTCCCAAAGAAGGTGGTCATAGAACAGTAGAGTTGGAAGGGGGCAGAGGGCCATCAACCCCCTGCTCAGTGCAGAACTCCAAGTTAAACCATTCCTCTCAGATAGCTGACTTCTTAATCATCCCAGAGTGCAGGACATGGAATAAGGGGCTCAAGTTAGAGGAAGTCAGATTCCACCTGAACATTAGCAAAAATTCCTGGCTACTATTAGAGCAATGTGACAATGGAACCAATTACCTAGGAAGATAATGGGCTCTGCCATACTGGGGACATTCAAGATTAGGGATGCTGTAACTTGGAGTTCTGCATTGAGCAGGAGGTTGCACCCAATGGCCTTCTTGACCCCTTCCATCTGTTCTGTTCTTCTAAATGGTTGTCCTCCAGCACCATTTGTATTTTGGTTCAAAATAGTGGTTTTGTGTTTAGGAATTCAGAGCCTGGCTTCTGCCTTAGGTTTGGTTCTTGGGCTAGTTATTTCTCTTTTGTCTTTTCAGTTTGCCTTCTGGGAAATGAGTGTTTTGGAGTTGGCCCTGCTGCTCATAACAGCCATTTTTTGAATGAACAAGACTGCTCCCCCTTGGCAGCCATTTTGTGAGCATGCCAGCAGCATTTTCTTGAAATTCCACATGTGCTCACTGACCCCAGAATAGTGAGGGCCCTGACAGAGAGGCTGAGGGATGGACCCAGATGCTACATTTCCAAGCTGTTGTAAGACACAGGGGGTCTGGACCTTGACTAGCTTGAGCCAATTAAGCACAAGGGTGAGAGACTGGAAAACAGTATTTTATTCTCAAGAATAAGTTCAATCACAGCAAAAGGGCAATCGACACATGACAGAGCTCCCTTTTATACACTGGCTGACCAGGTAGCAAAGACAATTGCCCATTGGTTTGAAATACCTGCAGTGAGTGCTGATTGGTATATTTGAATTCAGGTGGTCTCTGCATGTACCTGGGAGACTGGGTCACCTTAGGGCTGGGCTGAGGGCTCTGGAGAGGGATTCCTCTTAATCCATGACCACATGGAGGCTCTGATTACACTGATAAGACTTGAATACATGATCAACTTGTTCCTGCTTAATGCTGGCCAGCCAGGTACGTCCTATACCATCTTGGCAATCTGTGCCCCGTTTTCAGGCCTCACAACCTGAATTGATACGGTCACAATCTAAGTATATCAGCAGGGCAATTAGAAGGCCATCCATTGTTGAGCTCCGCGGTTGTGAAGTGGTAGCATGACTGCACCCAGATTGCAGCTCAGCATCATTCCTATGCCACAGTGTCTCCAAGCCCCTTCTAGTGCTGGCAAATCAAATGTGTTGCCACAAGGGCTGTCCCCTTCCTCAAGAAGAATGTGCCATTTCCTCCTCCTTTCATCCAAGGAGACTGACAATTTTAATTGTCAGTAAGTAGGTGTAGGATCAGGATGAACCATGGCTAAGCCTGTTGAAAAAGTGGCTAAGTCTTTCCCTGTGCTCTCCTTCCTGTATTTGACTGCAGTTCTTTGTGTCAGAAGGAGGTCTCTCCTATTGTTGGGAGCAGGAAGTAATCTGTCTCAGTTCTTTGTCCTCCTGGAGAGCCAGCAGATGGCTTTCCAAGCTTACTATCTCCTTTTTTACCTTCTGGTTACAGTTCCTCTTGTAGCTCTCTTCCCCATGCCTCCAGCATTCAGGCTTTTATCCTTTCCTTTTGCTCTTCCTATTCAACCTCTGAGTCCCTGAACCTTTTAAAAAGCCTTATTCTGAATGATTCCCTTTTGTTATCTTCAACTGGCCACAGCTGTTGCAGGATCTCATTGTTGAGTAACTAGGGAAACCTGAGGCCTGCATAATAAACTCGGACTACTCTTCACAAGTATGTTGTGCTCCTGTGGTGGGTATTAAAACAAAAGCAACCAACCACTGGGAAAAATGGTTTAACAAATAATTATATAGTACCCTTATATTATGCAATGGTTGAATTCTCACATGATGACAAGCCATGATTGAAATCATGTAGGCATGGCTTGTCTTCATTTATTTATTGGCTGTTTATTCCACCACATTAGCCAATAAGGCTCCCTGAGTGTTGTGTGTGAATTCAGCATCCCTGGTGAAGCATGACATGTTTCTCCATGAAACCAGGTGGAGAAACAACCGTTTCTTGTAAGGTTTCTACACTTCACCACGGCTTGCCATTTTGGGTGACCCCAGCTACAATGTTTTCCCATAATTTGCACATGTCTGCCATCAGATTTGGCAGTAATAGCAGCCACAGCTGCTGTGGACACTCTAGCCTCCGTTTTTCACTGTCCTGGTCCTCCTAGCAACTGCATTGGGTGCGGGCATCCACCTGGAAATACCCAGGATCTCCCCAGTCATCTTCTATCTGCCTCAAGCGCAGACACGCTGTTCCCCAGCATGCTCTGTAACAGTGTCTGCACAGCAGTACAGCTCTTCCCAGGAGCTGCCCTGTGGACCATTCATGTTCCCACTTTCTACCAAATCTCAATGCATTAGTTAGTTTTTCCTGTCCTCCCTCGTGGAGTCGGCAGCCTTTGGCCCAGAGGCCCTGGCTTATATGTTGGCATACAAAAGGGGTGGGCCTTGCCTAGCAGAATTCATTACTGGTAGAGTAGTCGTGGTCATTTTATACCATAATATGTCCCATGAGGATCAAGAGAGTGTGTGCAACCTTGACGAGGAGTCTGCAGGGTTGATCCATTTCACTCCTTGTCCTAGTGATTGCAACGGTTACTTCCTCTGAGGCAACCATTTTGCACGATCTCCAGCTCTATCACCCTACCCAAAGATATAAGCCATAGGTGCTTAGTTATGAGAAAGAAGCATAGAGAAGTACAGGCAAACTTTCCTGGGGATAAAGACTCCCTCACCAAGCAGCCTGGGAGTCATCAAACACACAAGCACAGGGGGCCTGCAAGAGAAGATGCAAAGTTCAGTGGGTTGAATGGCTGATGTTCTCAGCAAGCTCAGGGGTAGATACATTTCCAAACTCCCTAGGCACATACCCTGACTGTGAGAGCACATGGCTTCCATGCTCATGTCTCATGGGTGTCTCTTCCTCCTTCAGCACATGATGGTGCCTCCACCTAGAAAAGAAGCTGGTTAGATCAGAGAGAAACTGATGTGATCCAGCATTCTGTTTACCTCCGTGGCCAGCCAGATGCCAATGGGAAGCTCACAAGCAGGACACGCCTTGCTCCAGTGGTCCCTGGAGACTTGGGTTCAGGCACACACTGGCTCTGATCCGAAGGTCACATTGCCGTCATGGCCAATAGCCCCCAGATGCCTTCTCCTTGATGCACCTGTCGATTCCATGGTTATGCCCCCTTTCATGGGGAACCGCCTTGCCAAGAATTTTATGATTTTAAAAGTGAGCATGCAAAAAATGAGGAACCCACATTGTTTGTATGTTCAATGCAAATGAACAGAAAAGCTACCCCTCTCTAATGCAGGCATCGAGTTGATTTTCTGCTGACAGCCACTCTTATGGAATGATTTCTTGTGGCTCAGCTTGTTAGGATTTTGCTTCCAGCAATGTTCTTTTTTCAGCTCTCCCAATCCTGGTAGTGTTGGGAAAATTTGGGTAAATCCTGTCTGAAAAGCATTACTCCTGTGTGCCTTTGCACTGTGGGATCAAATCCTGTCTTCCTTCTCAAAACCAAGCTGTCACTGTTTAAAATGGCATTCCCCCGTGCTCCTTTCTCTCACCTTTAGCTGTAGGCTATAGCAGACAGGCCATTTTAGCCCAAATATCCATTGTAAATAGTCATTGTTGGAATTCAGTTTACAATAATCTTTTGATAGTCCAGAGGGCTTTATGTGCCCTGATCATGCAGAATGTTTAGAGTCGAGATAAGGTTCTGAGCTTATCATGAATAGTTTCTAGTAGCTTGAATTTGCACGTCTGAGCAGACCTGGAGATGGGTTCAAGTGTCAATACAGACACTTAGAAATATTTTAATCTCATTGTTACAGTGTGATTGACTGACATTTCTTTATCTGTTCTGTATGTGATGACCTCAGAATCTTATTCAAATCTCTGCATTCTGTCATCAATTGCCCTGTACCTGTGTACCTATAAATGCCCTATAATGGTATTGAAGCTTTGCAGTAGAGTTCATCTCTGCCTGCCTGGTAATGCAGCATGCATTATCGTGAGTGTACCGTGGGAACCTTGGGGTAAATACAATAAAGCCTCAGATAGTCTGGACACTTGGTCTTTCCCACGAACCCGAGTTTTATTCCCTCTTCTCAAATTGAGATTCCGGGATTCTGACAGTAGGCAATTGTTACAGAAAGTGGTATTAAACTTTGCGTCCTATAGGCTCTGCTAGGATGAATAATTCATGCTGACTATTCCTACAATTGATTGAGTTGATTCATCCCAGATTGCAAGCAGCCCCTGCCTTTCCAGGATCAAGGGGGCATTTCAGGTAATCTATTTGCTCACACCATTGGGCTTTGGATAGAAACCTGTACTGGAGAATCCACAGGTACAGAGAGGATTGAGTGTGGCCACCTGCAGGTTGGGTGAGCAGTTTCCTGTTTTCATCTTACTCCACTCACTTCTGAAGAAATACAAAAGAGGCACTGATGTTATTCTTTGTGCACTGCAAAGGGAAGTTTGGCAAGGGCCGCTTCCTTAGAGAAGAAGGTAGAACTTTGGCATCACAATTTTGAGCTGTCTGAAGGATTATCCAAAGGCAGGTAAGTGGTCAAGGCTGGCTAGAGATATTTCGCTACCTGAGAGAAGGAAAAGGCAATGCTCCCTCTCTGTTCCACTTACAGGAGCCAGCTGGACTGGCTGATGAATCTTATTCAACTCAGAGGAAGGGATCGTGTTTTCCAGACAGTGGGCTAATTCAGGGGGCCAAGGAAAAGTTGTGGGGGCCTACATTGCTTTATTCTCCGGTAGAAAGAAGCAGCTGGGGGAGGGGGGGGTCAGGAGGTCAGACCAGGCCTGCCCTGCAGCACCCAACACCTGGGGTGATTCCCTCACTCTGCCTAATGCCGAGGCTGAGCCTAACTCCCTTTATTCAAAAGCAGGGTTGAGTAGGAGGAGAAGAAAGAAAGAGTAAGATATTAGGACCAGTGGAACGATGTCTCATATTCTGTGAGCTAAAGTTGTTAATGTGCTCCTTCTGCACTTCCAAGTGCAATTGCCTGAGAGGGCAGAAAATGAGAGTTAAACTATTACCACATTTTGATAGGACTGGCCATGTCAAAGATGCCTCTGGAGTGCGTGTCATGACAGCTGTGGAAGGGCAGGGTCCTTTTCGCATCCAGCCCTATGATTGGTATTGTTAGGGCTCATCCAATTGGCACTAGGTATTGTGTTGTGGAAGGAAACTGAATTTGATGACTAGCTGGTTCTTTTTAGAAGCACATTTCAGTCATTCTATCACGCATAAGCTAATGATCCTCCCAACACAAAGATTCAAGGTACTGATGTTGTAATTTTACCTGAATTTACTCAAGGATTGTGAGAAGTGAAACAAATGGCCTTCCTTAACCCATTGAAAAATGACTTGATACATTTATGATTTGTATTGTTGCTTTTAATGACAGTCTTCATGAGTCTCATTTGGCTTCATACTTTAATTAGGACAAGAGCACTGCCTCCAGCATGGGAGAAGTATTCACATTTGATGGGAATTTTGATGACCTCCTAGAAAACTACAGTTATTTTTCCACTATTGATCCCTCCGGCATAGACGAAGCTGTCATTTCTGGAGCAGCACCCTGCAAATCTGAAGTAGTGACCACTGGACTCAAATATGTGACAGCATTAATCTATTGCCTGGTGTGCCTTCTGAGCCTGTTGGGCAACTCACTGGTGGTGCTGGTGGTCACTTATAACAGGGGAAACCGGTCTGTTACTGATATCTATCTCCTGAACCTAGCCATCGCTGATCTTCTCTTTGCCCTCAGCTTGCCCATATGGGCCGTTTATCGAGCTCATGAGTGGATCTTTGGCACTGCCATGTGCAAAATTGTCTCCACCCTCCTGGAGGTCAACTTCTATAGTGGCATCCTCCTGTTGGCCATTATCAGCATTGATCGCTACCTGGCCATAGTTTATGCTACTCGAGCAGCCACTGAGAAGAGGCACTGGGTCAAGTTTGTTTGTGTTGGCATCTGGCTGTTCTCCTTGCTCCTCTCCCTCCCCATCATCTCCTCCCGTGAGGCTTTTCAGTACTCAGATCCCCCTCAAATAGTTTGTTATGAGAACATTCAGGGAAGCAAAACATCTGACTGGAGGGTGGTGCTGAGAATCCTGCCACAGACGTTTGGCTTCATCATCCCATTGATCATCATGCTCTTTTGCTATGGGATGACAGTGCACCAGCTTTTCCAGACCAAGAATAGCCAAAAGAAGAAGGCCATGAAGGTCATCCTGGCTGTGGTGCTGTTCTTCCTGGTGTGTTGGCTGCCCTACAATGTCTCCCTGCTTGTTGATACCTTGTTGAGGACTGGTGTTATTGCAGACAGTTGTGAGCGCCGTTCTGTTCTTGATAGAGCCTTTTTAGGTACGGAGATCCTGAGCTTCACTCACAGCTGCATCAACCCCTTCATATATGCCTTCATAGGGCAGAAGTTCCGAAACAACTTCCTGAAGATCTTGGTCGCCCGAGGCCTCATCAGCAAAGAAATCCTGATTAGGTACAGAAAGGGATCTACCTTCTCATCTACTTCTGGCAACACCTCGACGACCCTTTAATTGCAGTGCTGAAGGGAGGTAGGTAGCTAAAAAAGACACAAACAGTATTGGGATGATCCAGTCTTAGTAGACTTTAATGTTCAGATTAAGTTGATGACACTGATGCCTCCAAAACTGTGGTTGCCAGTTGTGGCCTTGACAAATTCCCACCTGTATCTGATGATAGTGGATAGGGTTCACCTCAACAATTTTGTTTCAAGTGCTCCAAGAAAAAGGAAAGTATATTCTGAACAAAAAAAGACTACCAGTGTACAGAGAGAGACTACAGTGACTAGGCTTGCATGACATGACAAGACATTGTGGTTTGCTACCTCTGGTATGTTCTTCTGTTGTGCAACCTGGACCTATTTCCCCAGGTTGACCTGTTATTGGGTGTCAAACCATGGGTTCTTGTAGGAATTGTTGTACAACATGAGGGCTTCCCATGTTGTTCAAACCCAGGTGGCTGAAACCATGTCCCATACAGGAGATTGTCTACAGAGCCTTTTGGTGAAAAATGGCCAAACCCCCTTGCCACTCTGGCCAAGCACTTCCTGACTATCTCCAGTACCAGCCTCCCCAAAAGTGCCCAAGGGGTAGTTAGAGGCAGCTGGCACTGGCTTTCTTGACTCCCTGCCGTGAATATGAGCAATTCTGGGTTTGTTGATATCAAGGTAGCTTTCAAAATCCCCATTTTGGCAGTGCCTGATGGCACCTTGGATGGGCTACCTTTAAAAAATGTAAAACAACTTTTCTGTCCCTCTTAATTTTAGCAAAGATTTGTGATTTTTCTTTTTTTTGGTCCACACTCCCCCCCCACCTCCCCCAATACAGACCATTCGTCCATCTCTGTATATTTTCCTGCTAATGTTAAAAAAGCCTTTGACTGCTCTCAAAGCTAAACTGCTTCAGTGAATTGGGGCAGCTTACACTTCTGTGTGTTTCAGACTGGCAATACCTTGGGAACAAGTGCAAAAGTGAGGGCACCTTTGGGCAGGGCTTTTTTTGTCATAGAATGCACCGGAACTGTGTTCTGGCACCTTTTTTTGACATTTTCCCAAGTGATTTTGAATCACCCTGTTGGGCATAGCAGGTTGGCAGCAAAAATAATTAAAATACTGCTTGCGGGCAGCTTGTGTGTTGGCGCTGATTGTGAGGGCACTGCTCGGCTTGGGGCGCTGCTCGGCTTGGGACCGGTCGTGTGGTCGCGCGCTGAGTGCTTATTGCCGGCGGCGACCATTATGTTTATGTGTGTGCAGAGTGACTGGCTACGTGCAAAAGGTAAATAAGTTCTGTATTTCAAAAAAAGTTGGTGAATTGAAAATCTTTTTTAGTGTAAAAGTGTGACCCCAAGACGTGAGTTCCGGCACTTTTGTTTTGTTTTTTTTACAAAACAAAGCACTGCCTTCGGGGGACATGGGTCCGCCCAGCCTCCCCAGGGATCTTGTTGCAAAGGGAAAGAACCAGGCTGCCTCTGCGGGACCTGGCCAAGCATTTTTAGTGGAATTGTCCCTCTTAATTTTTCTGAATATGTATCACGTGTAGCTGCTTTGAATGAGACTGCACTGCCTGAACAAAGAGCTTGGAAGGTAACCAGGCATGTATCCTTGGGGGCTTCCGTATGGAGAATTCCTTTGCACTAGCAAACAGATCCTAGTGCAGCTGCCCCATTTTCCCCCCTCCTTAATGCATTTTCCACATTAGGAGACAAGTTAGAAGAAATGGCAAGAGAACATGGAAGGGTCATGAGTAGCCCATTCACCAGACAGCTGCTGGAAGAGTCACAGCTGGTCCCAAAACAGCCATTTCATAGAAAGGCCAACCAGTGAGACTAAAATACATCAGCTTGCCCGAAAACCTGAGTACAAGGCAGAGCTGAGACTAAGGCTCGAGGCACAAATGTACTCTCCCCTTCCCCTTTTACAGGATCATCTTCCACATCCACTTGTGTTCTCATCCCACATCATCAGCATGCAAGATCCACTCACGCAGACATTGCCTTCTCTCTCCTGCCCCACTGGCCCTCAAATGCTTCCACAGTCTTCCCTCTGGAGCATCCTTCTCACACTCAGTATGTTTTCATCATAACCATCATTTTAAAATCATATATATCAGTTGGGACTTTGGATGTGTGGCAGGGGTCTCTGTGGGTGTACGGTCCCCTATTGCCTAACCCTAGCTTGGCCAGTCCCCATAGTAATTTCCCTGTATCCAGGTGCATTGACCCATGAAGCAAAATCCAGTCTGTGGGCAAAATCCTTCCATGGCTGGAAGCTCCAGATCTTCTCTACAGGGATAGGTCCAAAGGCTTCCATTGTTCCCCTCAATGGACTCGTCACATCCAGAGTGATGGTGTTTGCTATGTCAAACAGGCTCAAGAGTGCCAAAAACCCGCTCTCTCTAAAGCAGGAGGGGGTTATTTCTAGACCTGAACATTTGGAGAGCCAGCAGTTGTGGACGTCTGCACTAAAGGATGTGATTGAGGAAGCAGAATTCACAGAGGACAGTCTGCCATTAGCTGGGCACCTTGCTCAAGCAAGGCAAACCGGCTGGCCAGGCTGATGAGGAGATGCGGAAGGGCCATGCATAAGGTGTGCAGCAAAAGCAACGATGGGAGTTGTGGTGCTTTCAATATGGAGAGGGTTTTTTTATTTTTATTTTTTTGGTAGCATGAACTTTGTGTACTCACACACACACACACACAAGGGTGCAAAAAGGGTTTGAAAAGATAAAGGGTGAGACCAAATGGTCACTATAAAATGGAAAAAGTTCCATTTGTGACCTGTCCTGGTTGCTAAACGGACTATGAATGCCATTGATAAAAGGAAAGCATTGAACCCAATGTTCGGAATAAGCCTCCTGCAGACAAAAAAAAAAAAAAAAAAAGACGTTATATTCTGTGATCAAGACAGGATCTCCTGAAGCATTACAGAGCTGAGACACCTGGAATGTTTACTAGCTGCCTTTCGATACAAGTCTCCAGATAGGGACACTTAACACAGCAGGAAGATACAGAATGAAGCAAAGGATTCTGGGTGCTATGCCGAGGACTTCTATTCCATTGTTTGACCTTGCATGAAAGGTTACAGATCTTTTCTGAACAAGCAAAGAAAGCTACTGTCTGGCCTACAGGAAGACACATTTTCTTTATCAATTTAGTCGGGTGCAAGGCAATATTAAGAATGCCCAAGGGATGACAAAGCAGTTAAATGAAGCACAAGTTGCTTTGCCTGTGACACTCTCAGTGCTTGCTTTTCTGGATGCCTGCATGCTGGCTCCAGTACTGGAATTTGCTGGAGAACATGGACATGATAGTGCATGCGATTGTGTTTACATCCTACTTGTGGCTTTCCCACAGCCAGCTGGTTGACCACTGTGGGAACAGAATGCTGTGCTACATAGATCCTAGTCTGATCTACTGCTGTTCTGCTTATGGTCTTGCTCTGCACCAGAACAAAACCTGTGCTGTCCTGATTTCTGTCCAATTCTTCTGTTGTCCCTTTCCCCTTTGATGGAGAAACTACAGCTGCTGGAGGGACTGAGGATTGTCATCTCTTGCACTGCTACTTCGGAAATAGTTCTCTGTTAACATGTTTCGTCACCAGCCTGAGTTAATACAGAAGAGGCACTGATTCCTTCTCCGGTCACTGGGGAGAGAAGTTTTGCAAGGGCTACTTCCCTCTGGAACAGGCAGAACTTCAGCATCAAACTTTTGAGCTGTCTGAAGGATTCTCCAGTGGAGAGCGGTAAGTGGAGGACCCCTAGGCAAGGCTATCCAGAGGTATTTTGCTACCCAAGGAGAAGGAAAAGGCAACGCTCCCTCTCCATTCCACTTGCAGAAGCCAGCTGGTTGATTCTTACTTCAACTTGGAGAAAGTGACAGTGTCCTCCAGCACACCCAAGACGAAAAGCTAATTTAGGGGGCCAAGCAGAGCTTGTGGGGCCTACATAGCTCTGTCCACCAGCAGAAAAAAGCAGCCACAGGGTTCAAGAGGAGCAGCCAAGAAGTTTCCCCTCCCACCCAGCACTCAATGCCTGCAGCAATTCCTTCACTCTGCCTAATGGCAAGGCTGGCTCCAATCCCTGGCTTCTTTTGTACAACAGCAAGTTGGAAAATGAGGGTTTTTCTAACCCTCTTTAAGTAATAGTGGATGAATGTAAACAACTTTGTATTCTAGTGTGCTAAATTTGTAAATGGGCTCCCTCTGTATGTCCTTATGTGTGTAAAGCACATGCTCCATTAGTGAGGGGTAGACCCTCTCCAGCTGGCATGTTTATCCCAGGGTAGGTGCAGGGGGACCAGTGTGGACCAGGGCTTGCCTTTGCTGTCGGTAGCTTTCTTGCTTAATTGCGATGATGAAATCCAGACATCCTACCTTGCAAAGCCTTTGAAGTCAACAATAGATTTCTGGCTCAGAATGTAGAATTCCACTTGGAATCCATCACACTGGCTGTAGCCCCTTTCCTTTGCCTCTTCTGGCCTGGTGTTGTCATTTACTGCCCCTGTGTCTCCAGCAGCAGCTTACTTAGACATTTTCTATATGCGATAGTTATCATGCATTCATGATTCCTTACTTACTGTTCCTATGGTTTCCTTAGATGTTGTTGATCCTCCAGTTTTACTTCTGTTTTTAAAGAGCATTGTCCCAAGGTTATTTTATGTTATTTTGAGAGCAGGGAAATGGGGCATTCCATGTTAGTGAAAGGTAGTTTCCTACTTCTGTATATGTGCTATTCCGCCTTTGCACACCATCACCTAAGGCTTTTATAGGGGAAAGCATGCAAGAAAGCAATCTGTTTAATGTTCAGGTATCAAGTCTGTGATGAAACTTAAAATAGAGAGAGTGGATTTACAGCCTTGCTTAGAAAAGCTGGTGCTTACCCCTGTGGTTAGGGTTAAGACAAACTTTTCAGAATCTGCCCCTCTATCATCCATGGACTTCCTCTTATGCTCAGCCTGGTCCTGCAAAGCAAGCCAAGCCAAGCGGAAGTCCGCAAACACTCCTGGACCCCCAGCTGCG